ATGCGCATGTTATATAAAATGCGCATGATATCGTATGATATAATTTTTTGATTTTATATTTTCACTATTTACAGTATATGCATTTTTGAAAGTTAGATTAAACTGTGAAAACTATCAAAATATAAACCAACAAAACTAAATATAATATATTGATATTATCGTTGTTTTCGAATTAGAGTTATAATGGAATTTTATGAATCTAATAATTCTCATATTACGATGAAGACAATATCTTTTTATTGGTAACTCTAAGCATGATTCCTAATCTAACCCAAAAACAAACTAAAAATACGCTCAAAAAATTTTAAAATTCGTATCAAAATAAGGACAATCGTGACACATATTAAAGTAAAAAAAAAAATTATATAATTCATTATATGTTAACAGTTCATTCTTTGTTCTGTATAATAAAATTTAAGATATAAGAGCACATAAAAATTTTTTGTCATGAATAATAAATCCTGAAATTAATAACTTGTTACTATCTTTATAGTTTTTATGCTTATTAAAGGTTATTATGAAAAATTTTTTTAATATAAAGATACTAAAATTTAGGCATAATAATGTCAGAGTCGTGCTGGGCAGAGGCATCCAGGGTGACCACCCCAAAAATGGGTCATGTGGTCATGCTGTAGCCGCAGCACCATTTAGATTATCGCCTTGTGAATCGATCTTTTTTTCTCTCGTTAAAACGAACATTACTTGTCTAAACTTTCATTTATATTCGACTTAATAACGGATCAACCGGAGTCTAAAGCAAGTCTCAAAGTCTTCTTACATATGTGGCTCTCGAAAAGCTACCTAACAAGTCTTATTTATGTGCTCCTGCAAATGGTAGTATGATCTTGAACAAAAAAAACAGAGAAAACTGTAGCAAAATAATTGAAGGTTTGATGTTTTGAATTTGCTTGTTGTAGAAAAGATAATTTAATTTCAATTTTATAAATTAAATTATATTATTAACAAGTTTTTTACAATCCAACTGTATATTAAAACTAATTGTACAAAATCTACTTTAAATTTATTAACAATCTTCTTTATTTAATTATTCAATATCTTCGATAACAACTAAATCCGTTACATCATTAATTTTTATATTCTCTACTGTATCTGATTTATCTGAGTGTGATAAATACATTAAATATGGTTTTCTACTTTCTGGACCCCAAGTTGCCTGCCGATGCCTCTTATGCTCTACTGATTGTTTTCTTCTTCTATTGTTGCTAACCAACTCCAATCCATCATAGCACGGAGATGTCACCAATTACTTGCAGATCGAGCAGTGCACATTCATTTTATCGCTTGTTCAACCAAGGGCCACTTAGACTCAACATAAGCACAGGCTTCTTCTTCTGGGTCTTCATCAACATTAATATCAACACTTTCAAAAATGTTGAAAGATGAGGTATCTGTTATAGATGGGGTGCTTCTTATAACTTCATCAATATTAAGATCTTTTATTAGAAAGAAAGGAGGGGAGGTTTGATGTTCAAAATTACTTCTAACTAGCCTTCTTCGTATTCCATTAGGCATATTTACGACCTGTCTGACCAGGTGCTTACATATTAGAAAACGACTTCCGAGAAAAGCTGAACAACTACAGACCCAATGGCAAATATCAGTGAAATATAAGCCAGTTAAATCAGCTGTGTCTGTTGTTATTGTGTTAGTACGCTTTCTTTTTCTTTTGTTACATTTATTTGCACGTATTTCTTTTCTTCTTTCCTTACTTGCACCTGCATATTTCTACTCTCTCTTAAAAACTTCCCACCAAGCTGGGTTTATCATACCATTTATAAGTTGCAATAATCTATCCTTTTCAGACAGTATTACCTGTGGCAGATTAAAATAAAATTGGATTAAAATAAAAATTTGTAGAGGGTAAAATAAACAAGCTATAGTACTAAAAAATGTAAATTTTTTTTACATTTTTTAGGATTAGAGGTTAGTTTTAAGGATAAGTAATAAAAATATCCTGAGTCATTGGGTATTAGCAGAAATGAAGTTTTTGCTTGTACATATATGCTTCAGGGTATTTTTACTAAATACCTGTGATCTTGATGTAGTTATCAGGATATTTAATTTATAATATGGGTTTTAGAGAATTAAATAGTAACCTCATATTTTATTTTAATCCAATTTTTATTATGATCTGTAACAATACCTTATTAAACAGAGTCCAAAATAGAAGATCTAATCTTGGACCATTAAAACGATTAAGGTAATGTTGCTTGATAAGAGACCAGTTAGATTCAATTTTCATAGTTGTTTTGGCTAGAGGTATTGTAGGTTTAACAGATCAAGCCTATAGATACCAATGGTCAGAAGAGTACCAGTTTGTCCACAAGTAAAACCACAATAATCGCAACTCATTTTTTATATAAAATTGATATATTTTCTTTATGGCACTATATCTAATATCGACTGGTGACATGATGTCTTCCTGAGTATCAACAGGTATGAAAGGGTGCATATCAAAATGTTTTTTTACTAGCTTTAAAATTGGCTCTTGACATTCTGTAGGACAAATAGTGTAAGTTCTTGAATTACGATCTTAATCCGTTGGGTAAAAACTTGGATCAATAAAATCAAATTCGTTTGTTGCCTGAGTAACATTATATGCTACTGATATTAGTTCTGTATTTCTTGATGCTTTAGGCTTCTCTTTTAGCTTTAGTTTTATAGCTCAATTCATATGCTACATGCAAAGCTGAATAACTGAAGATCCCTATACTGTTATTACAGCATTGATTTCACCAAAGTCTTTATCCGTAAATACAAAGTTTGGTAAGATGCCATGTCTTTTTACAGACTCAAAGAAGTATTCCAATATTTCACGGTGTTTTCCTTTACTAAAAAATTAAAATAGATTATTAATTAAAAAAAAATTTTGGCACCACCTGGATAATAAATAATTTATTACCATTCCATTTAAATTAAATAGTAATTTGATAGGGTGAGGGGATGCTAGGGTTAGGTTAATTTATTATTTAATTTAGACAAATAACAATAAGTTATTTATCACCCTAGGTGGCGCCAAGACGACTCCAAAAAAAAAATATATTAAAAATAAAAATAAAAAAAATAGTTTTTTAAAAATTTTACTTATTTAAAGCTAAAAATTTTTTATTATATAATACCTAGTGCTTGTATTTGTTTTAGTGTCGAGAATTAAATATGCAATTGGAAATCCAGCACCTTCTATATCAGCTACTATACCAAATAGTTCATAACTTCCTTTTACGGTTTTATAAGTTGAGTCTATATAGATTTCAGTGATACTAATAGCCCTATCTTTAATCTCACCTAATATTGGAGTAGTAAAACCAATAGCAATTGACTCTGAATCACATATATACAAGCATTGATAAAATCTTTGACCATTGAACTCATCAAGTAATCTGCGTGCTGATTCAACCTGATCTTTGTGCCGTTGAAATGAACTACAATTTAACATAGCCTTCCAGTAATATATACGTTTATGAGAATATATTGAATGATCAAATTTTTAACGGCGTAGATGATTTATTAACTCAGTTGTAGTAAAATGCGCATATTTTTTAATTTCTTTCTTTAATTCATAAGGTATCTCAGCACAAAGATCTGGGCGTGAGTGAAGAGATTTGTGATATATTTTTACTACTGCTATATTAATAGCAGTATCAACTTGAACTAAGATTTTCCCCTCACAATCATAGCGCACACGTCGTTTTCGGTTGGAGTCTTTATACTTTTCACATTGTGCTTCTATTGATTGGCAACACAGATAATTAAAACTACCAACTGTGTCACCAAATTTTTTTGATTTTTTTTGTTTTTTATAACTATGGTAATATATTTATTAATTAAAATATATTTATTTAAAAAATTTTCAAACCCCAAACTATAGAATAATTTTAAATCTGAATTCAAAAGATTCCAAACTCAAACCAACTCTAATATAATAAATTGCGATTTATTGTAAGATTATACATACTTCCAAGAGTAATCGTCTCTGCTTTCTATTTCAGTTATAATTAGGTTAGCAGCTTCTTTTGGTGTTATATTCTGGGTATCAGTATTCATATGTACCAACAGATGTGTATGATAAGCTATATCGGCAACTCCGTTGGTGCTTGTATCAGCTGTCAGATTTCGTTTTTCATTTTCGATGAAATCTCCCAAATCAAGGAAGTCGACTTCAATAGGTGCGGTATTATCAACATGCTCAACATGCTCAACATACCCAACATGCTCAACATGCTCAACATGCTCAACATGCTCAACATGCTCAATATGCTCAACATGCTCAACATGCTCAACCTGCTCTACTTGATTAATAGTTTTCAATAGCTCCGTATATATAGGTTTGGTCGAACGATCCTGTTTTCTTCGGTCACGATTTTTTTTGCATTCATCGCAAGTCTTACGACGAGTATTACCCCAGATGAATTGTTCGGGGTGTGATAGATTTTGCATTCTGAGCAAAACTTCTTCATTTAGATTTGTGAACTGTCGTTTTATATAATTGAAATATGGCCTCAAGTATTCAATACAAGGTATGTTAATACGTATGTATTTGAGCCTGAACCTTTGAAAAAATATTGATTTCGAGCCATAGCGAAAGCTATAGTTGATATTTATAAGAAATAGTTAAAGCAAGCTAACAGAAATACTTTTATTATGAAAATTAAATAGGTAATTGTTCGCGATTCAAGGGGGTATGATTGATAAGTTAGAAAATATTATACTGGACAACTATTAGAATTATGGGAAAAGCGACACTATTAATTAATGAATGATATTATACTTTAAATATCTATACTATTGTTTGTAAATTTGATAGCGTCGCGTCATTTTTATATCATACATTCACAATTCTGATGTCTATTTTGAAGGATCGTTAAGATGAAAATATAATCATAATGTGAGCAGCTTATAGATAATCAAACTAATTCATTTAAAGATTGGCTTAATTTAAATCAAGGTTTAGTCAAAGCATCTTTTTTTTGTTTGAACTACGTCTTACTGTAGCTATTTATTATTATTTGCCTTGAAAGAGCCACAGCTGTTTGTTACGGGTTAAGGAAGTACTAATTACGAAGCTGATTAGGGGGTGATTTGATACTTGCATTTTCGATAATTAAAGAGAAATGCTAAATTTATTTTTTTTTTTTACTTTATTTAGATAATGAATTTCTAATATTATTAAGCAAATTATTTAATTCTATTATGTGAATAGTTATCCATTGTCTGACCATTGTTTGTAGCACGTTTCGTGGATTGCTCATGGTCTGTCTCATAACACGCAAAGAATAATTGCAATAATGTGCAGAGGCAATTAAATGCCGATAGCCAGACAAAAAAGAAAACCGACGAAAAGATACGTAGTAATTTTGAGTTAGGGTATTACAGTTAAATTTACAAATAAATACACAATAGTTGTCTTTACAGAGTGATTATCCATAAGACACGCTACCAATAGTGATCAGACAACGGATAACTACTCGGGAAGGGGACTGAATTTTTTACTTGAAAGCACTCTAAAGGTTATTGTCAACTATTTATAAATAAGGTGCACTCGAGTGATTCCCTATATCATGGGCAGCAGGTTTTTTTTTTAGAGTAACGCAGGTTAAGTTTAATATTCACATTTCGCGCTAGGAATTTATTCATATTTAATTACTTTATAGGAGCAATGCAATGATAATTAAATAAAATTGAAAAGTAGTTTTAGAAATAAAATTAATTCGCAAATTAATTACTGTATATTTGTATATTTATATACAATCAATTACTTTTTTATAGATACAATGTAATCGAATTAAAGGTGAATAACCAAAAGATAAGTGCGACTTCAACAAATTAAAGATACAGCAAGCTAGGATCCAAAAGATAAGTTTAGCAACTTCAGGATGATATTTTTATTTTACTATTTTTATAGGAACAATATGATTATTAAATAACATTAAAGGTTCTGCGCCTAAAATTTAGCAACTTCAGAACGATGCTACAATATCTATTTAATAAACAATTTGCTTTATTGACAATACTTTATTTATTGTAATATTTAATTATACTCTGCTTATGGGAACTATTGTAATTAGCAATGCATTTTTTCATTTTAAACGAATGTAAACAATACATACGAATTTATTGTCGCCAACAATACATTTAACATAAGAATGAGAAAATGATGATTAATTTTAAGGTTATTTTTAACTTTTTGTATTGATAAAATAAAAGTGTTTTGTGGTTATGTCGATTGGTGAAGCGAAAAGCGAATCGGTTAAAATAGTGCTGCGGCTGCGGTATGGATCATGTGACCCGTTTTTGGGGTGGTCGCCCTGGATGCCTCTGCTGGGCAGATTACAACGTTTCACAACATTCTACATTGGTTATATATCGGAAACAAAACCCGATTTTTTACCGTTTTACTAAATTCATAATTCTTTCAAAATGATAATGTTACCGAACGAATGCCTTTTTAAATATTTAATAATTTTCGAACTAATAATCGAACTGATTATAAAAGCTTATTTTCATGCCTTCTTGTAAATCGTCAATGGTGTAGAATTATAATACCAATATTATGGAGTGAACCTAAATATTACTTTAAAGATAAAAGACTTATAAGAATATATCTTTTTGCGTTAAATGCTGAAGAACAGGCTCAGTTGATTCCCTTTAAAATTATTCTTCCGAATTACCCAAGGCCATTATTTGAATATGAAAGTTATACTAGATCTGTTAGTTCTTATTTACTGATGGAGTTATAAATTGGCTTAAAGATAAAGGATACTACTTCGAAAAAGATAACAATCAACATATAAATGCTGTCATATGCTCTTTAGTAGCAATGTTTCTGCGAGCAAGTAAAAATCTTAATATTTAAAACTTAACACTAATATTGATGAAACAATATTAATGGGTGCAATTGGCAAGAATACCACGTTGAAAGATTTAAATCTTGATTCGAATAATCTTGGATCAGAAGGAGGAAAAGCATTGGCTAATGCACTTTGCAAGAACATCGCGCTGACTTCTTTGTCAATTGTCATAATAATCTTGGATCAGAAGAAGAAAAAGCAGTAGCAAATGCACTTTACAAGAACATCACCTTAACTTTTTTATATCTTTGATCGAATAATCTTGGATCTGAAGGAGGAAAAGCATTAGCAAATGCACTTTGCAAGAACACCACGCTGACTACTTTGAACCTTGGTCATAATAATCTTAGATCAGAAGAAGGAAAAGCATTAGCAAATGCACTTTGCAAGAACACCGCGCTGACTTTTTTGAATCTTCAGTTTAATTATATTGGATCAGAAGGAGGAAAAGCATTAGCGGATACAACTTTGCATAAACACCACACTAATTTTTTTGAACCTTAATTTTAATAAGATTGGATTAGAAGGAGGAAAAGCATTAGAGTTTGCACTTTGCAAGAACACCACCTTAACTCCTTTACATATTTATTCTAATAATCTTAGATCAGGAGGAGGAAAAGCATTTGCAAATGCACTTTGCAAGAACACTGCGCTGACTTATTTGAAGCTTAGTAACAGTAATCTTGGATCAGTAAGTGGAAAAGCTTTAGCAGATGAACTTTGCAAGAATACCACGCTGACTTCATTGAATCTTGGTGTAAACAATCTTGGATCAAAAGGAGGAAAAGCATTAGCAAATGCACTTTGCAAGAATATCACGCTGACTTCTTTGGATCTTTACTATAATAATCTTGGATCAGAAGGAGGAAAAGCATTAGCGGATGCACTTTGCAAGAATATCACATTGAAAAATTTAGATCTTAGTTCGAATAATCTTGGATCAGGAGAAAAAGTATTAGAAAATGCAATTTTAAAGAACACTGCGCTGGGAAATTTGATTCTTTATTCAAATAAAATTGGGTCAGAAAGTGGAAAAGCATTAATGTATGCACTTTGCAAGAACATCACGCTAAAAAATTTAAATCTTGGTTCGAATGATCTTTGATTAGATACAAGAAAAACACTAGTAGCTGCACTTCGTAAAAAACATACTCTAAAAAATTGAATATTCAGTATAATCAATTTTGATTTAATATAAAATCAGTATTTAGAAATTTCGATAATATGTACGTCATATTGGGGTGTGCGATGCACTATGTAAATCAAAACTATATGTGGTCATATAACAAAATTTATTAATGAAGATTTTTCGATAGATAATAAAAATTTATAATAATTATTAGAAAATTTTAAATAGATGCACAGTCCTAACGGTTCGACAGTTTTGGATAAAATTTTATAAAGACCAGTATCACATCTATACGAATAAAGCTATAGAGCCATTTCTTTTATTTAATGTGAAAAAATTTCAATATACTATTTTTTTTTTTTCTTAAAAAAAGTCAAGTAGAAAGGACTTAATTTAGATCCTTTTTTAAAGAAATGGCTCTATAGTTCTGTTTGTAGAGACATAATACTGGTCTTCGTAAAATTTTATTCAAAACTGTCGAGCCGTTAGGGCTGTGCATCTATTTAAAATTTTCTAATAATTATTATAAATTTTATTACCTATCGAAAAATCTTCACTAATAAATTTTATTATATGACCACATATAGTTTTGATTTACATAGTGCACACCCCAACGTCATATATGATATAAATGTAAGTGTACAGCAAACATAAATCTTGTAAGATAATAAAATTTTAATATCTAATTTGAATTAAGATTTTATAATTGCATATCTCGGTTGCTAGCAAATTACATTATTGAAACATTTGCAGCTTAATTCAATTTTCAAATTAATCAATGGATTATTCATTTTTTCGTTAGTTTGAACACTTGACCCTCGCTAATATTAACACATTTGGATCACTCTTATATTCATGCTGATAGTAATATTAGTGAGGGATCATAGTAAAAAGTTGATATATATGAGGGAATTTTGGTATATAAAAATTTATAAAAATTTGTCTTGTGGCTTATGCTGATACTAACGTAGGTTGATATTAACGATGGTCATGTATAATATTTTTGTCTGAAGCGTAACAAAGACTCTTTTATTTGAGCAAACCTTTTGTCTCTTATCGAGGTTTATCCAAGAACCATGAAAGATAATTATGGGTATTCTATCCCTGCTGCCTCGTGCAAATACCAAGCCTTAACGCAGATTTTGAGAGGATCAATAAAATGTGCCAATGAATTCTTCTAATTGTTAACCAATTTTTTGTATCTTGAATGTAGGCTATTTGATAGATTTTTCTTTTTTCCATTCTATTCCGACGTGTGTTATTAACATCATTACTTATAGATAAGCAATTTCTTAGTATTAAATAAAAGTGCAAAGCTGATATTTCGTAATTTGCTACTAAAACTTATATTTTTGAATTTATCATTTTACCAGGCTTAAGCATCTAAAATGCTAATTTGCGACGTATATATAACATTTAATTGAAAGCGGTATTTAGAGACATTTTGGTTAAAATTGTAT